TGGTCCGGTATGGGCGTGACACTGAGGGTTGCGATCCCGTTGCCGGTCCTGGTCCGGTATGGGCGTGACACTGAGGGTTGCGATCCGTTGCTGGTCACAAAAAAAAAGAAAAAAAGGAAAAAAAAAAAAAAAAAGGACCTGCTTGCAAGGTCAGCCCATGGCTAGCATCTGGGAACTTGGATTTTAGGAGGGCTCCCAACAGGGTTCCCTGAAAAAAAATGGCCTCTGTGCCCAAATTGTCTGTGCAAACAATATGGTTTGTGCTGAACACCTGTTTTTCCTTCTGGAGTATGGAATTTTGGTGGTGCTAGGTAGAGGGTGCCTACACAGTCAGTCCCCAACAAAAGCCTTGGGCACTGAATCTCTAATGAGCTTCCCTTAGTAGACAACATTTCACATTTCACATGTGTTGTCACAACTTGCTGATGGCGGAATTAAGTACATCTATATGACTGCATTGGGAGAGACTATTGGAAGCTTGCACATGGCTTCCTCTGGACTTCATCTGTGTGCTTTTTCCCTTTGCTGATTTTTTGTATTCTCTCATAATAAATCCTAGCTGTGAGTAAAACTACAAGCTGAGTCCTGTCAATCCTCCTAGTGAACCACAGAACATGGAGGTGGTCTTGAGGATCCCTGATACAAATAGTAAGATACTTTCATACCATACTTATAAAATAGCTCCTCCAAATAACATGGCCATGAACATTTGCTTAAGATTGGCCTGGGCTCTGGAGAGGTTTTACTCCACTAGCAAGTACCAAATAAACCTCCAAACATCCTAACCCTGCATTAAGTTAAGTAATGTATATTTTTAATAAGTGATACCCACCGGGAACTCTAGCAGGAAAAGAATCAGGAGACCCTGCTCCAGCACAACCCTCTTCTTCATCTTCTTCAAATTCCAAATTCTCTTCTTCACCAGGGGCTAAAATTCTTCTACATGAAAAAGGACAAAAAAGATGCTAAGATTTAAAACTAAATATACTAGTGAAGTCTTATAGCTACTCATCTCTCAGGTAAGACGTTGATATACTAGTATCAATACTGCTGTCAATGATATCACTGATACCAATGACACCACTCATATCAATAATATCAATGATACCAGAGTTGATATTTTAAAAACCTAGAAATATTCGAAAAATAGGTATACAATAGATAATAAAATAAGAAGACAAATATGGATGCTTATTTATTTTACCTTAATGGGACAGGCTGAACATCAAATGGAAATTCTTTATTATATGTAAGAATATTCTTTAAGACTAGAATAAAAAGATAAAGAAACATGAATTCTTCTATGAATCAAAATCAAAAATTGTATCTTAAATGATTAAATTTTTAATGAATTTTACTATGCATATTAATATATGTATTTTAAAGTCCCAGCCTTACTACAATTCCAAAGCCACAATGCATTTGTCCATTGAAAGTCTTATCAAAATTAAAATATCCACAGTATATGCCTGGTACCAGTATTTTCAGAGTACTGTCAGATCTCCAAGGACAATAAGTTCCAGCCTCAAAGCCCTCATGGAAAATGAATCCCAAAATAGTTCTCCAATATACAAGGTCCTAGATGAGACACAAGGTACCTCTCTGTAGTACTCCTCTGTAGTATGTTAATTAAAATATTCATATCAAAGATGACCAATTAGAGGCATATGAGCACATCTTATTCTCTGTCCTCAACACCATCAAACTGATAAAGTTTGTAGTAGCAAGGTTATAATTCTCATATTCCTTCCATGATAAAATTTATTATAATAGTATATATGTATTTACACACACATACACACAAAGATTTATCCTTAAGAGAACTCTTCAAACAATATGGTACCACCTACTGTGCTCTGGCTATGGTCAGGATATTTTTCAGTGATTACATTCTGATGTGTAAACTTAAGGAGAGATGTTCTACAGTCCTAGCTACATCTGGAGACGTAGTACTGTATAAGTATGCAATTTAGTGTTTCATTTCTGGCCTTACGGGTTCCCAGGAATTACCTGAAATTATACCAAGGTGAATTCACAGCATTAACTAGGCAATCCAAAAGGCTCCCATGATTCTATACTCAACTTACTCAGCCTTCGATTTCAGAGTCTTGCAGTTTAGAGCTAAAATGGATGTGGCATATTGGCATCCCAAAGGAGGAAATCCAAAGAGTGCATGCTGCAATTACATGACTTACTGAAACGGGAGTCAGATTCATTTATCGGACTTCTTATATATGTACTCTACTAAATCCTCCAGGGAGAAAGGAGTCTGAGATTTGTGTCTACATTCTCATACATTCTTACTCTCTCTGTCTCTCTCTCCCCCTTTAGCTCTTACCCTCATCCTTCCTTTCTCTTTCTTCTTCTAAAAAATGCATACTGAGTGCCCATAACGTTCCAATCACTGTTATAGGTGCTAAAGATATACAGTGATCAAGACAGAGGGTCCTTGCCCTCATACAGATCTTAGACACTAGTCAGGAAAAGAAGACAATAAATAAGCCAACAAATAAAATAATGTAAAACTGTGATTAGTGCTATGAAGGACACAAACAGGTGACTGTGCAAATGAAGTAAGTAGAATAGAGGGAGAACTTTAGCTGAGGTAGACAGTGTAAGCCTTTCAAAACTAAACTGTTAGAAGACATTTGAGCTATGACCTAGGATGAGAGAAGCCATCCACAAGTAGCTCTAGGGTAAGGGCTTTCCAGGTACCAGAGAACAGGTGAGAGCAACAACCAAGGCTCTGAGGCAAAAACTAGTCTGACTTGTTCAAGGAATAGAACGAACTGTACAGCTCAACTTTACAAAAGGGAAGTGGCAGAGATGAAAGTCAGAAGGTTTGAAATCAAGTCCCGGCCCTGCAATTACACCAATGACTTAAACATTCACATAACTACTCTGAATCTCAGTCTCCCCAATTCTAAAATGTGAATACCACTTCTTTCACAGACCGTTGAGAGAATCAAAATTAAATAATATATATGAAACTGCATGGGAAATTATAAGTACCATACAAGTATAAGCCTGCATTATTATATGCTAATTCATTCGGTCCAGAATTTTCCCTATGTAGTTGGCTAGAATCCTAGTACTTCAGGTCTCACTAAGGAGCACTAATTTTTTTTTAATTGTAAGAACGTCCTTTTTAAACTTGGTTCATGATCGTCCATTAATTCAACTGAGTATACCATTAATTCAACTCAGTAAATATCTATTAATCATTGACACAGTATTGCACTAGATACTAAGAACAGATAAGTGCATGACAAAAAAGACCATGTACCATTCATATCAGAAACAAAAACACAGAAATGATAATATTTTAACTATAATAAAATGGGGAAAACAAACCCTTAAAATACGTATAAAACAACATCAATAAAAAAATTGAGAGCTATATCAGTTATTAAGAATATTTTGCATTTCTATTGTAATAAAAGAATTAAACAGCATTTTTTTTTACACATCAATGCTTTGAAAAAGCAATGTTTAGGCATAATATAGCCTCTCATTATTTTGTTTTTACAAGTAGAGAATATATTAAATATTTAATTTATGTGAAAATTTTTGGAAGAAAAAAACAGATCCTTTCTGACTTTCTGAACTGCAGGATAGATTTCCATTTTCACCAACTATGGAATAACAGAGATTCTAATGTACTTTTAAAACAGGGTTCTATCTTAAACTTTGCATAGGTTTTTCTTTCCACCAGTATTAGTAATGATACCCTAGGAGGATCTGGAGAAGAGGAGAAGTGAGTTCATAATTTCACAGAAGATATTATCATGAACAGGAAGCATACCATGGGTTGGAGACTCATGGGATCATTCAGTAGAACTTATGCACTTAGGACCACTGAATGGCAGACATATGATGATGTACTCTACTAGCAAAAATTCAGCATTCCCAGCCTGCTCTCCCAGATCAGGACCTGCCACCTTCCTGAAGCTTACACTAAAAATCACACATACACACACACACACGCACACGCACACGCACACACATATTCAAATATCAAAATTCAAAATACATTCTGCTTTTGTGGCTGACTAGCTTCATTTTTGTCATAGGCAAAACGTGCAACTGCTTCCCATCTGAAAGGTTATTTTTTAAATTATGTAAGAAGATTCCCTGAAGACGTTCAATTTAACAAAAATCTGCCAAATTCATACTATATACAAAGTGTTGACTTAGTCTCTGTAGGGAAAATACAAAGGTATTCACGATCTCTTTGAGGAGTGAAGCAAATGTAAGAGAATAATACAGGGCAGACTGTGATAAAGGATACAAGAAGTGCTCCTACAAAGGAGAGTTGTAGAGTTTAATTATGGCTAGAAGGAGTACCTTACAGGAAAAGGTAGGATTTCTATGGCACCTTGAAGGATAAATCAATGGAAGGGAATTTTATAAGGTGATGGTGTGATGTTTGAAGAAGTAAGTAGTGTATTACTGAGGATTAATGTAAGAAAATTAAATGACTAGTACTTTCATGATCCTAGTTTTAGTATGAATTTCAGACAGGATTTTCAAGAGATTTAAAAAACTTTGAAGAAAAGAATACATTAGGCAAAATAAACCAAGTCCAACATATCAAAAGTTACATTTATTAATTTTCCTTAGAAGAGGCTTGACTAAGGACAAGCTTGACTAAACCAGCTTGACTAAAAACCCTTAAGCTGAAATACGGTCAAATGCCAGTTAGTAGAAAATATTTAATTCTGATAAAAGAATTAACTCATAACAAGTGCCTAACTTTAATATATTCACAATTACAGAGTATATCCTACTGAGATACAGTATACATATTTATGTTTCTTTAAGAAGCAATAGCAAATTTAAATCACCCAAAAAAGATTATAAGTACCAAGAAGGGAGAAGTCCAAATGAAAAGCACTATATAAATTCAAAATACAAGAAAATGACTCCCAATAATACTCTTTCCTTTCCATTACCACCCCAAATCTTCAAAACAAACATACACCAAAAAATGAGGAATAGAAAACCAATGCCAATTTTAGTCCAATCTCCCACTAATATATTGGTTAATAATCTCTCAAGAGCCTGAATTGGAGAACTATGATATTTAGGATTGATGTCAGTATTGTATCATTACAAGTATTAATAACAAAGTGTAGTAAAAGAGACATAGGCTGGTCTAAGTGACCCCAAAACCCCATCCTGGCATTTACAAGCTGTGAGGTCACAGGCAAGTGTCAGTGTTGTCGTTAGCAAAATGCAGTTGAAAGGATTTATCTGAGTACTTGGCATATAGCTGCTACTCTAAAAAATGGTAACCATTATTACCAATGAAAGGTGCTGTAAGGTAATAGGAGAAATAGCTGAGCAAGTTTATAGGAAGAGAAAATAAATATCTGAGGATAAACAGTTTACAATCTTTACGCGCATTCTATGTATCTGTAACATTCCTAAATTTTGTTTAAAACAAACTAAAAAAAAATAAACCAATGGAAAATAGCAACTAAATAAGAAGCCAAAATCCTAATTATTCACCCTTAAAAAAAGGTAAAGCTAGAGAAAAGCACTAAACCAAAAAGGAAGGCAGTAAGACCAGAAAAAAAGGAAAAAAGAATCCACAAAGCAAGAAAAAAACTGCAAAATGGCAATAATGAGTCCCTATGTATCAATAATAACCCCAAATGTAAATGGTTTAAATGCCCCAATTAAAAGACACAGAGTGGGGCCGGCCCAGTGGCGCACTCGGTAGAGTGCGGTGCTTGGGAGCATGGCGGCGCTCCCGCCGAGGGTTCGGATCCCATATAGAGACCGGTCAGCTCACTGGTTGAGCGCGGTGCGGATGCGACACCGAGGGTTGCGATCCCATTACCGGTCACGAAAAAAAACAAAAAGGAAAAAAAAAAAAAAGACACAGAGTGGCTGAACGGATTATAAAACAAGAACCAACAATATGCTGCCTACAAAAAATTGACTTCACCTATAAAAACACACACTGGCTGAAAGTGAAGGGATGGAAAAAGATATTACATGCAAAATGGAAACCAAAAAAGAGCAGAAGTAACTACACTTACATCAAATAACACAGACTTCCAGCCAAAGAAAGTTAAAAAAGATAAGAAAGGTCATTATATAATGACAAAGGGATCCATTCAACAGAGGATATAACAATTCTAGATATATACACACCCAACTCCAGAGCACCCAGTTACATAAAGCAATTACCACTGGACCTAATGGGAGAGATTACCAACACAATAATAGTTGGAGCAAAGGACAGATCATCCAAACAAAAAATTAACCAGAAAACATCAGAATTAATCTCTAATATAGGCCAGGTCAACCTAGAAAATGCCCATATTGCAAACATTCCCCTAAGAGAACATTCACCTGAACTAGCAAAAAAGCTTTATTTGGTAGCATTCTAACCATCCAAACATTTGAAAGAATTATTTACTTCAAAAATGTTAGAAATATGTATATATAGGAAAATGGGGTCAACAGGAAATATTCTGTAGAGCAGCTGGACTGCAGTTTTCAATGATACGTAATGTAAATGGATATCAATGACTATAAGCTTGTATTTTCCATTAGACTCTACTGTAAATGTTTACCAAAGTAATGACAGTCTTATTAAAGTGATTAAGACAAAAATGAAGGCTAATACATATTTAGAGGAAGCACAATCTCACATATTCTATAATGAAGGTGAAATCCAAACAATTACTATAAATACTACAGAAATTATAAAAGCACCCCCAAAATCACAAAGGACTAGATGTTAACAGAAATAAATACAACAAGCATCTATGCTAAATGATCTTAATACCTATAATAGATTAACTTTTTCTAAAGGAGTATCACTAAACAATAGAAAATAAAACTTACTTGGTTCTAGCTTCTTTAGGTCCTCCAGTTTAAATTCTTCTTGGGACTGTGTGGACTAAATTTAAAATATGCATATTACATCTTTGTATGACAAAGATTTCACTGCACCCTATGTCTTTTAACTGGCAAGAACCAAATAATCAAAATGAATCTACTTCTTGATTTCAAGATAGAAAATGAAAAGTTCCAAACTGGTTTTTCTTTGTTTTAGCATTCTTGGAACACTCAGGCTAAAAGTAACCAAAAAAATTGAAGTCCTATCTTTTATTTCCACAGTTTACAAAATATAAACTAAATATTTTAAGCAGAAACTTAATAGATGGAGTCCTATTGTTATAAAACCCTGTAGAGGTATTACTGCTTTGGGCATGAATGCCTCCTGTTTTACCAGAATAATTCAGAATCATTTATTTTCCTTGTATTAGGAAGAGGGGAAAACAGCACTATTTACCTGTAAAGCTGCACTTCGCAATTCCAAGCATGTTGCAATCTTGCCTATGGTTTTCTGCAGGAAAAAAATTAGCTATAAATACCAAAATTATTTTAACTGTTAGTTGTTAAAATCATCAAGTTAATTTTTATTGATAAGAGGTGTGTAATTCTTTAAATAAGATAATTTTACTTATTTCTAGCATCTTGCAGACTTTAGAGAAGAGAAACAGGAGGCAAAGGACTGAGATGAGGGACAGAGAGTGTGTACACATTCTCCCCTGATCTAATGTGCCACAGCCAACTCTAAACCAAGTTTGCCTTGGTGACAGCTTTAGACATGATTTAAAAGGCAATGAAAAGGACTCCCTGACATCTTCCCACTCAAGCTTTGCTTTTTCTTCTCCATAAAGCCTGAAATTCACTAAAGGACTTCAAAATAAAAATATCTGAAAGTTAGCACAATGGTATAATTTAATTTTGTCTTAAATCGAACCATTATGAATGCTGTCAAATTTTACAATCAGATCTGTTTTATATAATGAGCTACAGTATGAACATAAATGATAGGGCATAGTCTTCGCCTTTAATAAGCTCATGTTTTACTATGTGAGATAACACAATATATAATAAGAAAATCACAATAAGATAAGACAGAATCACTATAATATAAAGCAGAGACATTCGATTCTATAAGCTTCAGCAAAGTAAGATATAGATAGCTGTGATTTAAAGCGCAATGAAAAGGGCTTCCTGACACTATGTCCTAAAGAAACGGAACAAGACCTGTATTGGGAATCAGGGCCCCAGTGACTGGGAGGATTTCTAAAATTAAACAGTTTAGAAAGTTGTCATAATTCAATTGTCTAAATCCCAAACTGGAATGTGAGGGCGATCTGGCTGTGGCATCTGTTACCCCCTTGACCCTAGGATTGAACTGGCTGATCTGGCTGGCTAGGCGGGTTTCCCCTTCCTCCCTAACCACTCCATATGCATCCCTCCTGAAGCTGCGCGCTCGGTCTAAGAGGACGACCTTCTCTGATAAGAGGAGAGGACCATTCTGTGGTCAAGGGTATACGAGTAGTTGTGTTCCCCTGCTAAAACCTCCAAACAAGCTCCCAAACTGAAAGCAGGGGTTTGAAAGGTAAAGTGGACCTTCAGTGACAGAAGGTTTTTAAACAGAATGATTCCATCAGATCTTTTCTTTAAGAAGACTGCTGTGATAAAAGTATACATAGGTTGCAGTAGAAAAGGGAAAGACTGAAGGCAAAATGAATCAGGTTATTTAAACTGTCCAGGAAAACAGTAATCAGAACAAGAATATGAAATGACTGGAGTAGAAAATGAAAAGGAGATTCCTACAAAATACATCAGAGCAGGCAACTGAATTATGCCCCGCAAGACTCTGAAGTACTACCAACAAAGATATTTCTTGTTTTTATTAGAAATAAATCCAGACCATGAAACTAAAAGGTATATATATATTCATGTACAATGTTGGCAACACTTGTACAATGAAATATTGTGGGGGAAAAATGACATGGTTTTTCCAAATGTATTGATGACTTGCAAAAACTCAGTAAATTAGATTTGGTGGTTTTCTCTGTTTGTCAGTTTTTGGGGAAGGTAATTGAGAAGCAAAAAGGAGTAACAAGTCCTGTTCTGGCCCCTGGAATTTAGGCTAGTGGGCACTATTATTGTATCTACAATAAATAAGCTGGTATAGCAACTTACAAAATAACACACTACTGAGCAAGATATAACTCTCAGCCAAGGAACAAGTAACAATATTTAACCATCTCTAAAATCTTTAAAAATTATTTTAAATCCCAATATAAGAGCTTAGAACATACCCAATTTTATTCTGAAATGTCACGTTTAAAGATTACAATGAAAATTACGTTTATATATAGTAACTGCAAAAGGATTCAAGATACTCACAGTAGACATTCACCCTTTCAAATAGCAATTGCATAGAAAACAGTAATATTCTTTTCTACGTAAAATCTAATATCCCAAATCATTTTTGTTGAAATATCCCACTCAACTCTGACAAAACTAGTAAATAATTTTAAACGTAAATATAATAATAATAGTAATAGTAATGGCTAACAACTATTGAGCACTTATTAAGTAACGGGCTCTCCTAAGTGATTTGCAAACACTAATTCATTTAATCCTCACTATATCTCTATGAGTTAGACACAACCATTCTATAGGTGAGAAAACTGAAGCATAGAAGTTAAGTCACTTGCCCTAGACACCAATGCCTTCTATACAACACAGCAAAATATACAACAAAGCAACACTTATATTAATACCAATTACCTGTAACTTTTTATATTCTTTTAAAGTTAATTTTTAAAAAGGATTTTGTCATATTAAGTGAGATATAAAAATGAGTAAGTATTTAAAAATATTAGTTAACTTCTTTTCCTTTTCACTATAAAATCAACTTGATTTCATGCTTTTAACATTTAGGTAAAATGTTGCAATTTAACAACTATGAGTCTACCAATAAACTATTTCAAATTTAAACATTATTTCAAGTTAAGCAGAAGCAAAAGCTTTTTATACAGAAGTCTACTCAACTATGGCAAAATACCAATAGGCATTATTCATAACTATTTTAAGGGACCACACCCAACCTCAGTATTAAAAAGAGAATGAAACACTATCATTTTAGCTGTAGCAATAACTTTTAAAACACGTAGAATTTATTGAGGTCAAAATCAAGTGCTTGCTACTGTAATTGTTTCACTTTTCTCAGAAATAAATGGTTCAGAAAAATGATTAAAAGCAGAAGTTCAAATGTGCCAAAATATAAGTATTGACAATTAATGTACATTAAGACTAAGCACTGAAGGTAAGTGAAGTTTAATTTTAGAAAGACTTAAATTATTAGCACTTCATTCAAACTAACCGTAGATACCTAATATGGTATAGAACAGAAAAATGCTCTCATTTTCATAATACTGGCTTTTTTACTTTGTCATTGCTAGGGAAATTGGCAGCTTAAAAGATCAGTTAGAAGAAAAGATAGAATAAAAATGGACATAAAAGAGCTCAATTAATTTTACTAAAATGTATTCAATTATACAATTCGATTTTCCTATAAGGAAAATTAGATTTAAAAAATACATATAAAGTAGTACAGTCTCATTTAATCCAGTCTTAGATTTTTAGATTTAAATAGCCAGACATCTACTGTCTAGCTGTGGGGGAGGGAGGTAAGAGGGCAGAGAGGAGGGTGGGAGCAGAAAGTGGGGGAGGGGCTGGAACCTATTTTTATAAAATATCATGTAGTGCTGGAATTCTCATCACCACCAAACTTGACTCAAAAAAGGGGAAAACTTTCTAAGGATCATGAGACAGGATGTTCTATTTTGTCCAGAAACTTACATGAGAAAATCTACTACACCAAAGTAGAGAACTCAACGGAATGAAAGCTTTTGGCAGCTATTTGTTGGCACTAAATCCAGTTGTTATAATGACAAAACTATTGAGAACTGAAATGAAACTTAAATGAACTGATCATGAGGCAGATCAAATAAGAATCATAAACTTTCTTATTTTACACCAGAAAACTTTGAGAATCTTAGAAAATGCATATGAAGCTTTTATACTATTTATCACGAATTAGTAAAGTTTAGAGAGATCAGTGGTTCTGCATTAGAGTTCTTTAGATTTAAAATAAATACTGTGAAAATGTATGTAAGTTTTCTCTCAAAACTTAGGATTTATCTTATTTTAAAATAATAATCACATATGAATAAATTATCCATAACCTAAGATACAACAAAGCATTTATTCATCAAATATTCTTGAGAGTTCACTGTGAGCTAGACAGTGAAAAGCTTCGTAAAGAAAGCACTTTAGAAATATGGTTGTTTTTAAGAAAAAATCTTTCAAAGTGCCACAAACTACTGAACGGTTGGCATAATTCTAAAATTTGCCACTGTTACAAAAACATTGAAAATAGTAAAAGCATAGAAGATACAATAAAATAGAAAACATAAAGAACAATTTTGACTAGAATAATGTAAGGAATATTCTCCAAGTTCCTCTTTTGAGGGAAAGGCAATTGAGTTTTTTCTCCGTTCGCTTATGGGCCAGATCCAGCATTCAATTAATTTTGCAGATCCAATAGTTTGTATCAAAATTTCCCCTAATATGTTTTCAGAACACTAGACCCAATGAAATGTTTTATAAAGGGAGGAGGGGACTTCCAAAAACAAATAAATTTTAAAATACTGCATACCCAAACTCCTTAAAATATTTGACATACATATTAGCATATTAAAAACCCTGAGAAATCACACTCTCTCTGTTCAAATAGTGTCTATTAATTTTTCAGAATCAATGTTCCCTAGAACATGTCTGAAAAACTTTGTTATCTAACCATTTCTTGTCTTGGATCCTCTGATAACTTTTTCCTTATGTGGCATTGAAATAAAGCCTATATGTCAGTATCACTTTTTTGGACCATTGTAAATGTTTCACTTGTATTTTTAAAGAAAATTAAATTTTTAAATGCATACAACTTGTCTTATATTCATCATGCACTACAGAGTGATCTGGGGGTCTTTCTCCAAGCCCAAAGAACAGGCAGGCAGCCACAAATGCTGCCTAGGAGATATTGTAAATAACAAATCCTTCAGAAATTAGGCCTCCAAGACAGGAGGAGGTACAGAATACTTCAAAAGTAAAGGTCAGGTCTTTAGAAAACTCAGGGACACCTTTTATGATCATTTAGGGTTCTCTAATCCCTCATTTCATAAATAAGGAAATTAAGGCCCAGAGCCAGCTCTCTCCTCTGGGTAGTGCTGCTTCCTAGACCTTCTGGAATACAGGATCTGTAGGTCTTTGTAACCAAAGATAAGATGAAAAAAGACAGCAACCACATGAGTGCTAAGCAACGGCTATAAATTAAAGAATAAATAGCATTATCAAACAAGAGCTTCAGCCTTAAAAAGTTTAAGAAAAAGTTAATTTTTTCTCATTAGTCAAATCATCATCATATGACAAGGTACACGTTATTGATGGTATTTTTTTGTTTGTAATTTGAGTATGCTTTAGAAGGTCAAATCACTGTACACTTGAGGCCATGTGACTCATTGGTCCTCTACCTAAGCAACAGATGTTGGAGACAAAGCATATAAGTAACTCAAGGCAAATAACTGATCAAAATATGGGGTCATTAAAATGTTAATTCCCTAAGTTTTCAACTTACTTCCATATTCATAACACAATTTTGTTACCTTTTAATTTGTATACTTATATATCTGAGATTCTCTTCATCAAAATTTAGGTGTTTTACCTCCCAATTCTGTGATGCCAGCTAATCATTTCCTAATCAATTCCTAGACAGATTTCACAAATCTTAAAAGAGGTAGTAAAGAATTTAGTTTTTGTTCCTTTCCTTAAGCAAATCAGTCATTTCCCCTGTGATAATTATTTTCCAGAGGCAAAATAATTATGGGTTTTAGAATTATTAAGGGAAAAAGAAAAATATTCTTTTAAATTGTAGCAATGTGATTTTTTGGTGAAATACAAAAAATAGATACATTAGATAAAATGGACTCGATATTTTTTAAATGCAAATATACTAATAACTTGAGCAAGAAATATGGCTAACCCTAATCTTTGGAGGCTTTTTCTTTCCAAACTCCTATAAGTAAGATTTAAATATTTATTTTACTATGAACTAAAATAAATTTGTTTAGGCTTAAAGTGTGCAAAAAACCACTACCTCTCCCACTGTGCAAAAAAGAATTAATAAGTGCAAATTAAGTCACCACAGTTTTACACTGTTTTTTTCTTAAGAGATGAAAGAAAGACTGACTTTTTTCACTCTCTGCAAGATTAAAAATTGACTTAACACTAGACACTCTGAGCCAGGAGAAGATGGGAGTGGTTTCCTCCCATCTCTTCTCATTCTGTTAGAGTAAAGCTTCTTTAAAGTATCCCATTTTTCATAATCTCTAACAGTTAAGGGAATCAACTTGACACACAAAAATTGTAATTCAAGGAGAAAGAGCATCACTGAAACATTTTGCAACCTTACTCATTTATTTTACTGATGAACTTTTATGCCGAATTCTTGAATTGACCTAATTTTTTCAGTAGTGGGCTTTTTGGGGGTGGGTGGGTGTGGGGTGTGTGTGTATATGTGTGTGTGTGATTTGAGAGGTGGTCGAAAAGGAGTTATGAAAGTTCATTGTTAAATAACTGTTGAGGTGGAATGCAATTACTCATAATCCTTCTCTTTTCCCATGTAAGTCTAGACAGACTCCAGTCTCTGGGTTCCCCTGCTCCTCAACCAAACTGTAGATGGTCTCCACTAAAGTTAAACAAAGTCTAAATGGTGAGTAAAGAAATCCATTAAGTGATAAGTCATACGGAATCTCTAAATAATCACTTAATGTCAGGTAAAGCATAATCAGTATTATTCTCTTAAGTATAACTTTTTGTTTGTTTGTTTGTTTTCTTTATGAACTTGAAAGACAGAACCCTTTCCATTCAGAATCTGATCTATCTAGGTATTATTTTATGGTACCTTTTGTTCTTCTGTGAATTCAGAGTTATTGTGTTGAGCTTGGGCCTCTTTTTGTAGATGTCTTGCTAATCTGTAAGAATAAAACACATATTCTTTAGAATTGAAGGAAAGCAATCTCAACTGCAACAAGGTGAAACAGTTTAAGTCTTAAAAAACAGTGACTAGGGTTGGCCGGTTAGCTCCGTTGGTTAGAGCACAGCCTTACAACACCAAGGTCATGGGTTCAGATCCCTATATTCGCCAGCCACCAAAAACACAAAACTGTGAAATATAATAATACTTTGTTCTGTTTTCAAAGTATAAATCTACATTAACTTTAGAATCAAATTCTTTAAACAATGATGAAAATAAGATACAGTACTCTTCATATTACTTCACTGGACAAATTTCAGTTCTAGGCAGTAAAAACAGAATCTTAGAGCTGGAAAGAATCTTAAAGGGTATCTAATCCAATTTCCTTTAGTGTGCATGAATTTCTTTTACAATAAGCCAACAAGCAGTTGTCCACATTCTGCTTAAACACTTCTATTGAGCATCAATATTACCAACCAGAGATAATTTATCAGTCTATAATTAATTTGCTGATAAGATTAGTCCAAACCCAAATTACAGCAATGACAAAGGGATAATACCCTATCAAAATATATTTTGAAACATTTCTTATGGGAAAAAAGCAAATCCCCCATCAATTAAAAGAGAAATCATTGTTTGCCCAATTACCATCATACTTAAAAATAGTAGGTAGGGCTTGGATGAGTTTTCAAGGATAGTTCTATTTACTAGTCAAGCTCAACAGTGAGGATCTAAATCTATTTCTGAGGCAGCAAAAATCAAAGGATTGACTCTTACAACTAAACAATAAGAAGACTAATTTGGGGCAGAGGACTTCAATAGACATTTCTCCAAAGAAGATATAAAAAATGGCCAATAAACACTTGGAAAGATGCTCAACATCATTAGTCATTAGGGAAATGCATATCAAAACCACAATGAGATACTACTTTACACCCATTAGGATGGGTATAATTTTTTTTTAAAAAAAGAGAGAGAGAAAATAACAGGTGTCAGCAAGGACGTAAAAAATTGGAACCCTCACACATTGCTGCTAGGAATGTAAAATGGTGCCAGCCACTGTGGAAAAAATTTGGCAGTTCCTTAAAAGGTTAAACATAGTTACTGTATGACCCAGCAATTTTAAAAATCCCAAAAGAACTGAAAGCATGTTCACACAAAAAACCTGTAAGGAAGTGTTTACAGCAGCATTATTTATAATAACCAAAAAGTGGAAACCAACAAGATATCCATCAGCTGATGAATGGATAAACAGAATGTGATATATCTATTTGATGGAATATTATTCTGTCATTAAAGAGGAATGATGTACTGATAACATGCTACAATATGGATGAACCTCAAAAACATTATGCTCAATGAAAGAAGCCAGATGGAAAAGATCATATATTATGATTCCATTTACATGAAATATCTGGAATAGGTAAATCCATAGAAACATAGTGGTTGCCAGGAGATAGGAGAATTAGGAGTGACTGACACCACACATGGGGTCTCTTTTGGGGATGATGGAAACGTTCAGAAATTAGATAGTGGTGATGGTTACACAACATTGTGAATATACTAAAAACCACTGAATTGTACACTTGAAAACGGTGAGTTTTAAGTTATGTGATATTTATCTCAATAAAAAAATTGTGGAAAAAAATAACTGGTGAAAGAATTTGAAAATAAAATTCCCAAGCATACTATACAATTCTGGGTAGGCAAAGGGGGCAGAAATACAGAGGATAGCAATTGCTAGATTTTCTTTTTTTTTTTTTTTTTTTTTTAAAAGATGCCCGGTAGGGGCCGGCCCGGTGGTGCACTGCTACGGTGCGCCGCTTGGGAGTGTGGTGGCGCTCCCGCTGAGGGTTCGGATCCCATATAGGGATGGCCAGTTGCTCACTGGGTGAGTGTGGTGCTGACAACACCAAGACAAGGGTTAAGATCCCCTTACCGGTCATCTTTTTTTTTTTTTTTTTTTTTTAAAAGAT